CTGTATGTTGGGAAAGTTTTCTTCCATAATTTTGTTAAAAATATTTTCTGGGCCTTTGAGCTGTGACTCTTCTCCTTCTTCTATTCCTATTATTCTTAGGTTTGGTCTTTTTATTGTGTCCCATAATTCCTGAATGTTTTGTGATGAGAATTTGTTGGCTTTGCTGTATTCTTTGATCATTGCATTTATTTTCTCTATGGTGTCCTCAGAATCTGAGATTCTTTCTTCTATTTCTTGTATTCTATTGATTATGCTTGTTTCTGTAGGCTCTGCTCATTGACCTAGATTTTCCATATCCAGCTGGTCCTCAGTTTGTGTTTTCTTTCTTGCTTCCATTTCAGTTTTCAGTTCTTGAACTGTTTCCATTACCTGTTTGATCGTTCTTTCTTGGTTTCCCAGGGTATTATGTACGTATTTACTCATTTTTTCAAACTTTTGGTTATACTTCTCATCCATTTCTATAAGGGCATTTTTCACATGTTGTTTAAGGGACTCTATTGCTTTCATAAAGTCAATTTTTTCCACTTCTTCTTTGTTAGGGTGTTGAAGACCTCATGTTGTAAGATCGTTGGGTTCTGGTGTTTTCATGCTGTTTTTTGGATTATTGGGTGAATTCTTGCCTTGGCGCCTGCCCATCTCCTCCTATGGATGCTATCTAGTGGGTCTTTTAAAACTGGTTCAGGTTTCCCTGCTGGCCAGGGGCTCCTCTTACAAAATGCCCTTGCTCTGTTTCCTGGTTCCTGCTGGGGGGGGCAAGGTCCCTCTCACCCCTCAGAAGGGTCTTCAGGAATAGGACCTGGCTCCTCCTTTGCCAGGGACCTCCCCAACCAAAGGCCTACCTCTTTGATTTAATTGTAGTGGGGCGATCTGGTCTCGGTGTGTGGTCCCTGCAGCCTGTATCTGCTGCCATGATGGTTCCCGCCGCCTGCGGAATGCGTCCTCTGTTGCCGCTCGGGTCCCAGCCGGTCCCCACCGGCTGCGGGGGGGGGGGGGGGGGGGGGGCGTCCTCCTTCCGCCTCCACGACCGAGTTCCGTCCGTCTCCGCGACCGGGTTCCTTCCGCCTCCGCGACCGGGTTCCGTCCGCCTCCGCGACCGTCCCGAGTCTAAAGTTTTATATCTTATTTATCTTTTATTATAACTATGGAAAACTATAACTATCTGTTTTAAACTCGTCAAAGACCCCAGAAGGATATAATATTACCTAAGTAAACAGGAAGTGCAGTGTATGAAACTCCCAAAGTTCTAGAATTGGCAGAGACATCTTGCTGCCTAAACAGTCACCCAAAGTTCTTCTGTAAAGTTGGGGCATTCATCTTCAGCCTTTAGGTCCATAATATCCAGCTGACTTTTCCATGAAGCAGGAAATTTGAAGATGTGTTCTGACTTGTAATGGCAAAGTTCATCATTTGCTTTCTTCTGTTTCCTGCAGAAATTTGACAGATTCTTTCTTGAAGAAGGAACCTTGAAGAACTGCTTCACCTTCTTTAGGCAAGTTTAGCAGTCATTTTCTGTGGGTTCTGCACATCCAGTTTATACAGTATACCATCAAGCAGTCCAGGCAAGAGAAGATTTTTGCTAAATGGCTAGCCTTGTCACATTGACGGCAAATTCCATAATAAGTGTCTTCAATACCCATCAACCTCTTAAGTAGATGGGTGCCCCCCAAAGCAGACATGTCTTATAGAAAAAAGACCAAATTCTTAAAACCTTTTTTAAATGCAAAATTCTATAGGTCTTTGAAGGACTGAAGATTACCTATCTAACTGAAATATATCTCTATGTATCAAAGAAACCTAACTAGCATGACTAAAAGTTTGATTATAATAAATGACTATTTATTAACTTGTATTTATTAATAATTCATTACATTTTTAAACAAGCTGTACAAACACATACCTTAAACAAGAGCAGAAATACATACATACAGTATAACAAAATCAACCTTAAATTTGTATCAATAGACCAAGATCTCTATATCATATCTCCTTTAAATGAAAACAAATATTTATAAACAATTGTTTTGGGAATTTGGGCATTGTTTTCTCCAAACTGCTTCCTGCTGTTTTGGGGTAAAGTATTTTTTACCTGTATTCCTTGTAATCATTCACTTGAAAAACAGAATGCAACCATGTTGTATTTTTAATTGCTTTATAAATAATACCATTCAAAATTTCCACTTCCTCCCCTCCTCCCACTTCCCTCCCGCTTTCCCACTTACCCTCCTCCCTTCCACTCCAGTCCTAAGAGAGGGCAGGGTACCCTGCCCTGTGGGAAGTCCAAGACCCTCCCCACTCCTTCCAGGCCTGGGAAGGTATGCATCCAAACAGACTAGGATCCCAAAAAGTCAGTACATGTAGTAGAGACAGATCCCAGTGTCATTATCATTGGCTTCTCAGTCAGCCCCCATTGTTAGCCGCATTCAGAGAGTTCAGTTTGATCACATGCTCGTTCGGTCCCAGTCCAGCTGGAGATCAGGCATACTGTCTCAGCGGGTGGACCAACCTGATGTGGCCCTGACTTCCTTGCTCCTCTTCTCCCTCCTTCTGCTCTTCAACTGGACCTTGGGAGCTCAGTTCAGTGCTCTGATATGAGTCTCTGTCTCTATCTCCATCCATGGCCAGACGAAGGTTTTATGGTGATATTCAAGATAGTCATCAGTGTGACTATGGGGCAAGGCAACCTCTCCCTACTGCCCAAGGACCTAGATGGGGACATCCCCTGGACACCTGGGAACCCCTTTAGAGACAAGTCTCATGCTAACCCTAAAATGGCTTCCTTAATTAAGGTATCTTCTTCCCTGCTCCCATATCTGCCCTTCCTCCATTTCAACCATCCCATTCCCCCAAGCTCTCCCCAATCCTCCTCGTCTCTTTGCTGGGTTTCTAAGCTTTAAGGGAAAGAATAACGATAGAGTTAAAGGGAGAAAGAAAAAAAAATCAAGAATTAGAGAATTAGAAGGAAAAAATCAAGAGAGTTAGAAGGAAAAAAAACAGAGACAGAAGGGTCATTTCTGGATAGAGATAAATAAGGAGAATATAGAAAATAAAAGGGGAGAATGCAAAACAAGAATAAAGAAAAGGTCTGAAGAAAACCATCAGGAGAGTATATGAATGTCTTTTCCCTTAACCCCTCAGATAAAAAAGTCACAGTACATTGGTCCATGGATTCCCTTTGGGCCCTGTGCTGCAGAGACTGGTCCCTGGGCAGCAATAAGAATCCCAGTGCTGCTCCCTACAAGACTGTGGACAGAGAATCTCAGAGGCTCCAAAGACCGTAAAACCTTTTCCCACTGGTATTGGCCACATATTAGCAGCAGACAGTAAGATCTGATGGCGCTGCCTAGAACCTGCAGAGGGAGCTCAAACGCTCAGCTTTCGTGAGGCGTCACCAGCGAAGAGGGAGCTTTTCATACAGCAATACAATGAGTCACTCTACCCAAGTTAGGTTCTCACAAACAGTCCTAATAAATCAGTGGGTCAGCTGGCTAGACTTTTGTGAAATTGATTCTTTATTTATTGTCATTGCCCTGTCTGGGGTTATGGACATTGACATAATCCCCTGCAAAAGTCATACAATATTGCACAGGTTCCAGGGGACAATATGGAGACACCTCCATAGGTCAAGTTCTTGGGAGAACTTGCCCACAAATGACATTACAGAGAAATATTTGGGAACAAAACTGTGCTAGAAATACAGAATAAAATATATAAAACATGGAATGGAAATAAGCATTAAAACAAAAATCCAATGAAAAATCAACTGTATTAGACAAATGCTAAGTTTTGGGTTGTTTATTTTTAGACTGTGTCTGTCTGTATAGTCCTGACTGTCCTGGAACTCTCTATGTTGACCAGAATAGTCTCAAACTCACAGACACCTGCCTGCCTTTTCCCCAAATGCTAGGATTAAAGGTGTGCACCATGCTTCTAGGCTCAACCATTAAATTTTTAAATATGGTATTTGCTTAAGTGCAGACATACCTATTTTACAGATAAGATTTTTCACCCTATGCTTCCATACTGTGAAATTCACTTTTTATCCAGAGTTCAGAAAAAATACATCCACTTCTGTCTTTATATTCTTGCATGGAAATCTTTGACCCTTCCATGATATACTTGGGTCTCATACAGCAGAGACACCAAGAGTTCTCAGCAGTTTTGTAATTTTCTTGCTACCGCTTCTCATCAATTTGTCCCTGCTGTCTCAGGCTCCAGCAGGTACCTAAGGGGTCAATTTCCTATCCAGATGACCAGGTCCAGGCAGAGAAGAGCAGGGAGGGGGACAACAGGAAGAGTGGGAGCTGGGCTGCAGGGTTACTGCAGATGCTCATTTGAGAGCAATGGGCAACTCCTTAGGGGAAAATGATGCTGCACACCCATCCTCCATCAATCCATGTCCAACGGAGATTGGCAATGATCTTAATCATCCAAAGTACTGGTCCTCACCCTGTCCTTGAGGCAGTGACAAAACAGACCTTGAATACTGGCCCATCACAGAAAGCCAAGGTGAGTACAAATAAACAGAGATCTGCAGCCAGGTCTGCCTTGTTTGAGGGATGATGAGAATCTTCAGTAATCTTCCTCCCTCCACCCTTACCCTCAAACTTCCCTCCTGATTGCATAAAGTTCCCCAATATGTCTGTAGGGACCTTCAGACATTTGCCCATTGCTCAGTGCTGCCTACCCTAGTGGCTACCTAAAGTCTCCTGCCCCAGTGTCAGGCGTCAGGCATCATTTGAAACTATTTGGCATTGGCTGTACATCCTTGATCTTCCAGGATGTCACATAGCTCTACAGGACTCTTGGGTGCCATGCTATTTGGTGTCTGGTATCTGTCCATTCTAACACCTCCTCAACCTTGTGAACTAAGAAGGCTGGCCACATAAAAACTGAACTCAGAAAAAGATGCTAAACTATTGGATTCAGACGGGGCAGGGACAGGGGTTGAAAGTTAAAGCAGGAGGGCAGTGCACTGGGAAAAACTTTGGAAGGAGTGGTTCTCAGGTGGGGGAAATGCAGCTCAGTGGAGTGTGGTCCATGGAGAAGAGCAGTCCACTGTGGTCATTGCCATATGCTAGTGGCAAAAACAGCTCAACAGTTGTGGTCTTGGAGAGCTGTGACAGAGAGAGAGGAAGAGAAGTGAGAGATCCTCCCCTTACCATGAGAATAGCAGTCAGAGACTAGCTACCTGGGAGGTAGGTGCCTATTGGGGATCTTCCTTCCATCAAGTCTCTGGGAAGTCTCCTGAGAATATGTGGACCCCTGAATAATCCTGACTCCCTTGACCTTGTAGATCTCTAACTGTGTTTTGTGGGTACCTAGGGCATGAGATTAGACCAGGTGGAAATGATGGTATGGGAAGGACACTGGGAAAAGAAAGGACAGATTTCCCCAGTATCTTGGGAATTACGTTTGAGGACACCTGCTAGAGTGGTCACTGCCTCCTGGCTAAGAAGGTTCCCAGGCAAGAAAAAAATATCAACTAGAAAGTGTAAAGTATGAAGATCCATATTGCTCCTCTGTCCCCATAATTACAATCACAAAAGGGCCGACTGGCAAAGGAAGGCACGTGGTTCCACAAGGGTAGCAGTCTTATGGGTAGCACACAGGGTACGTGGGGGAGAAGCAGAACAGAGCATTTTCTCACCCCTCTGCTCAGGCAAAATAACGTTTTCTTGGAGAAGTCCTTTGCGCTGTATGAATTCCTTAAATTCCTCCAGGACCTCTAGGTTTCCTTTTGGATGCTTTCCTGTAGGTAGAGACCAGATGGTTAGAGGAGGCATGACTGCACAGCTCTGTTGGTAGCCAGTGACACAAAGACAAAAACTCTGCCTAGCACTAGGGGTTTCAGCCTGGAGAAGATGGGAGCAAGAGGGGAAGAGACTTTAGAGCAACCGTGGGGGTTGGATATGGATGGGTAGCTTGTCCACAGAAAGTTGGTATCACTGACACACAGGGCCACCTTAAGACCAAAGATATATTTGACATTCTAAGCAGACAAGTAATGTCACACTCTAATCAGGAAGGTCCCTGTGTTTTAGGGTCACTAGTCTCCTCATCTTCCCGAGAGCCATTGCCCATTAAAGGCTCTTATAGGACATAAGCTCTCAATGAGATCTGCCTGCTATGACATCCAAGACTCCAGGAAGGGGACACGTAATAAGTCACTGGCTGGAACTTCTGTACTATTTGTCTCTGCTCAAGGCCACCTCTCCTCAGACTACCCCTTTCCACGTCAAAGCATGCACAATGACCACACAGAACCTTATCCAGAGATGCTAGAGGGACACCCAGGGGGTCTTTTAATTCCCAGTGACAGGGTATATCTGTGAACATTCAAACAGCTATTGGCAGTAGAGAGCCCGGGCAGGAGGTGGAGTCTCTGGGGTCCCTCACCAATGAGGTCTACTATTTGGAACTTTTTCCCAAACAAAAGGTGTTCAAGGCATACGATGTAGTGGTCCTTCGCTGGCAGCTCACAGATGAAGAAGAGCATCTGACCTGAGACCGCAGAGCAAAGAGAAAAGGGCAGGTAGGATCTTTCTCAAAGGCAATAGTCAGAGAATACTAAGGAACCGTCTAGAGAGTTTCATCAGTAACCCTTCAGCATCCAGCCAACTGGTTCCAGGCCTTGCTGTGGTCCCATCACAAGAGAGAGGTTCCTCCTGGAAAGGTGTCACCCTCAGCTATGGAGTCTGGGCCACAGGTGTCAGGGAAGATGGATACGGTGTATGACTGCCTGCCTAGCAGCTGCCTTGTCCAACTTCCTGTATCCTAAGCTACAGACTCCTTGTCTGACAGGAGACAAAAATATCTCTAGAGAAGCATGATCTATTCTTTGGACTAGGCTGTGATCTCTAAAGTACTTGGGAATTAACTGATAGGCCTTCCTGAGAGTTAAGCAGAGCAGGGATGCTACAACCCCAGGAGCTCGCCTTAAAAGGGACAAACACATGCATCCAGGGGTACCATGTTTGCAAAGAACTGGACATATCTATGATTGCCTGGGCTTTGTTCTGCTGGCCATGACAATGGGAATGATATTGATTACATTAATTGGTGTGTGGAAGACTCATGTTAATTGTAGGCATAAGCATTTCACAAGTAGAACATCCTGGACTGTGTGAAACGGAGAAGCCGTCTGAGCACTAGCATGAATGCATTCCCTGCTCTCTTCTGACTCTGACTGTAATATGAGCAGCTGCATCATGCTCCAGCAGTCTGGAATACCCCACCATTGTGGATCGCACCTCGAACTGTGAGCTAAAGCAAACCCTTTCTCCCTAAGCAGTGTTGATTAGAGTGTTTTATCACAGCAACAGCGAAGAAGCTGAGACAGGGGACTCACAGGCACTGTATTGACCAGGCTCCTCTGTTCTCTGCATACGGAATCTTGACTTTAGGCATTCACCCTCAGATCTGAAAAACAGGAAACCAACCCACAGCCTCTCTCAGAACACATACCTGTGCTCCACTGAGGTCACCTAGCACAACGACCCCTGAAATCCCACATCAACCCCTCCACGGTTTAGGTGTTGAGATTACTGCCACTCAAAGGAGGGGGGATTTTCTGTCATCAATGTCCCAGCACAGATAGAGGAGGGATAGAAGGCTGAAAAGACACATGGGGGACACTCACGTGATAGTGGTCTCGACTTCCAAAGTTCCTGTTTGAGGGCATGATACTCTAAGAGGGAACACTACCAGAGGTCTCCTCAGCGCTGTCCGGTTCCTTTCACTCCCTGTAGCCTTTACGAACCACGCACCTGAGAGCTGCAGCAGACAGTCTGGAGCCCACACTTGCCCAGCTCCCAGTTTCCCCCAGATTCCCATGGGCATGCAGCCTGAATACATATCCCAGAGACCAAGATGCAGCCCCCGAGTTGGTGAGGTTCTACTCTCCAACCCCATGATGCTTAAAATTAGACTAGAACTACAATTTGGTGGCCCAATAGAAGCAAAAGGTGTCTGTCTCCAAAGACCCGAAGCCCCTAGGAGTCTAGGAAACACACAAAGGTCCTATCAAATGAGATGTTCTGGTCCTGGGTGTTACTGCTCTAGGACCCTTCCTGCTTGAACTCTGTGGTCCAGGAGGCCCATGTGTGCCGGAGAACAGCAGTCTCTGCTCAGACTCAGAAGACTTAAACCCTCACGAGTGCTAACTCCATTCCTCAGGCACTGGCCAACCGTCAAGTCTTCCACATACAACCACCCACCATCCCTCCCTGCCTTACTTTCTCTTCTTCTGAGAGGAAGGGCAGGTCATCTTGGGCCTGTAAGACAGCAACCAGGACACACAGTGTGACTGTCAGGAGCAGGCTCTGCATCTCCAGGATCTGTGTTCTCAGACAAGGCAGGTCACTGGGTTGACACGATGAGTTCCTGTTGAACTCTTCAGTGAATACCATTTATGGCCACAGATTACACTGGCCACACCCCTTCTGGCCATCTTTCATGGCCAAATATAAGTCCATTATTTGACTGGATGTTGTTGCTGTTGGGATCTGGTGTTGTTTCACTGACACCTCCAGATAAAGACACAACACCCCACAATATCCGCATCACCCAATGGTGCTACTCCTGTAGGACCCCAGAGTGTAAGTTGCTCAGTTGTGTTGTGGAAACACAGTCTGTACTCTGGGCCAGTAAGGGAAGGCTGAGTTCATTCTTTTTCCACACCTAAACCTGCTCTCCCATTTCAGACACCCATGGATGTCCTGGCAACCTTTTATGGAAGGTAATTTCTCAGTTCCTACTGCTCAGAAAAGGCCTGGGCTTCCCCATACACCATCCTGATGATTTCCAGAGTACACACTATGTTCTAGGAGCCAGACCAATGCTGCTCTTGCCTGATAGGACACCCTTGGTGTTAGTAGGGTCCCTGTGTGTTGATTCAGGGTCTCCTGAAATAGCACCTTCTCTGAGAGGCTCCTAGCTACACTCAAAAACACAGTCAACCGAACTAAGCCTTCTGCACCTGGGCCAGAGTGCTTCTGACTCTCAGGCTTCTTGCTCCTTCTTCTTCACCACTACCCCAAACCCACCTCCTTAATTTCATCCTAAGCACCCAAGGAGTGGGGCCTTGATGCCTGTGCTTTAAAATTTTACCCTGAAGCTTCAAAGGATTAGCTACATGTCAGGGGTCACAATTACGTGTTCATCTCAGAGTATTTCACCTGCATAAGCTCAGGGACATCAAATTTGACAAAGGATATTGGATCCTCTGCTGTGTTGGTCATCTGAGGGCCTGCTGAAAGGACTGGTGGAACCCCAGCCCACCCTGCACTGTTGAGTCCCCTCCCACACCTGTGCCTTGCATGAGGTTCTTAGGTCTGGCACAGACAGTTGAGAGCCAATGTTTGTACACCTGCCTCGACTTCCTCAGACTAGAGCCCCCACCACACTAAAGTTATCATCTCATTTGTCTGAATACTGACAGGACACCAGGGTGACCCCAAGTCTAAGTCCCTTTGGGTAAAAAAAGGATGAGAGGAACACAAAGAGCCCAGGAACTCTTACATCTTAAATCTATGGCACTGGCTGTCACAGGTGCCTTATTGTACATATAATACATACTATTAAAGATAGGGAGGTGTTGATATCGCCACCAAAAGCACCAGGTCAGAAGGGGTTGCCTGGGACCAAGGTTCATTGGAAAGAAGGAGCAGTCCTGAGATGAATATCGGTAAATCCTGGAATATGAACTGTGTAGTGGAGGCTGCAGATTGCTTCTCTATCGACTTCACTTGAGGCTCCACTTGGGCCAGCTTGAATTCTTAGTTCTAGTTCCTAATAAAGCCACTCCGAAGCATGCATGCTCAGTACAAGAAGCGGAGGATCCTTCAAGGTGCTGATGCGGAACTCTCTTGATTCTCTTCTGTTTTTAAAGGCAGGTCCAGGATTTGTGTTCTTATTTGATTGTGATGGCGCCCTGATTTCTCCCTTTTGGAGCAAGAAGTATTAAATTTGTTTATTTTAACTCTTATTTCACAATAACCCACCGTTGTGAGACTTTGGACTTTGAAAGAAACACTGGGTTTTTAATCAGAACTGGATGTTTTATAGTTTGGAATTTTTAAAGATGTGGGACTTTTTACATTGTTTGGGTTCTGTGTTTGATATTAATGTCAACGTGACAGCTTGGGAACAAATTAGAAAAGGAAGGCTATGGTTTAATACTGATGCATTTATGAATCAAGTTGATGAGTGGACCTTTGTGTTGGTTAGTTTTTATATCAACCTGAGAAAAATTTAGACCTCTCTACAGAGAAGAAGTCTTAACTGATGGATTTCCTCTCTCAGGCCTGCAAACAACTCTGTGAGTCATGTTCTTGATTAACGAATGGTATGGGAGAACAAAACCCATTGTGGGCAATACTTCCCCTATGCACTTGGTCCTGGGAAGTATAAGAAAGAAGGCTGGGCAAGTCATGGGGAGCAAGCCAGGAGCAGTATTCTTCTTCTGTGAATTCTGCTTCAGTTCCTGCCTTCAGGTTCATGTCTTGAGTTCTTGCTTTGGGTTTCCTCTGTTATGGATTGTAACCTGGAGCATGTAAGACAAAATAAACTCCTTTCTACACCAACTTTGATTATATCAGTTTTTTGTCAAAGAAAAAGAAAACCAAAACAAGACCCTGACTCTCATTAGGAACAATGAACAGAGTCGTGATTTCCAGCTGGACCAATGAGGATAAAAAAAGGAATCAAAGACTTCAAATCTATAGAACTTAGGAATGGTAGGGATGTTGCGGTTGTTTCTGTGGAAAGATTCAATGAGTCTAAAAACAAAACCAGAACTGACAAGTGACACTGCCAAGACCCCAGGCTATCACATTGTCCCTGTCATGGTGGAACAAGCCAACTGCAAATGATCCCAGCACAAAATGGTTTTCTTAGCTGATATCATGCAACCCTCTATTAATGTCTCTAGCTCTCCCTACACTTGTGTTTTTCAGTGTTCATTGTATTAAATAATCCCTTCTCAGTCTATTGTGTGCTCCTGTATCCTGATTACTTAATTATATATTATTACAAGTGGAATGTGCCATGAGGACCCTAACTGTGGGCATGTGGTGTTGTAGACTCAATGGAAGTGTCTGAGTTAGCCACACAAAGGGGACATTTAAACATATCATTGAAAGTAGTGAAGGGAATGAGTCATGAATAAAGGAAGTGAAAGATGACTCCAGGAGGGAGGAACATTCAGTGAGAACTGGAAGGGGCAGAGGGAGCCTTACTGTGCCAGGAACAGACCCTAGGGCAGGGAAGATGGAGCACCTGAGCAATGACAATACCAGTGGGCATACTAATATGGAAGGGGTTCTGTGGTGGTTTGGAAGAAAATGATCCCCAAAGAGAATAATACTACTAGGATATGTGACCTTGTTGGAGAAAGTTTGCCACTATGAGGGCAGGCTTTGAGTTTTCCTATGCTCAGGATACTGCCCAGTGTCAGTTGACTTCCTGTTACTGAAAAATGTAGGATTCTCAGCTATTCCTCCAGCACCACATCTGCCTGCATGTTGCATGCTTCTACCATGATGATAATGGACTGAACCTCTGAAACTGTAAGCAAGCCCCCTCAATGAAATGTTTTCCTTCTAAGAGTTGCTGTGGTCATGGTGTCTTCTCACAGCAATTAAAAACTCTACTAAGACAGAAGTTAGTACCAGAGATTAGGGTACTGTTGTGATAGGCCAGACCATTGTTCAGGTGTTGTTTTCTTACACTGTTATATGATAGCCTTTTGACACTTCAGTGTTTTCTGTGGTTCTGCAGAGTTAGGTGTTGTGCTCACTAGGTTTGTAGGGTTCTGGCTAACCCTCACATCCAACAAGTATAGGCCACCTCAGTCTCCATCAGGCACTTGAAAGGGGTTTCTGCCTTTCAGATTCCAGACAGAGAGAGGCAAAAAAAAAAAAAAAGACAATACGTGAGGGTAGGAGCTAGAGAGTTGTTGAGTTAGTAACAATCAACAGCCTCTCAGGAAAAGATGACGTCTTATGCTCATCCTTCAGAATCTAGGTCCCATTGAGATGGCAGTTTCTGGATCTTTGGCCCTGTTGTCCTTGTGGGAGAAGAGAAGGGCAAATGGTGACACAAACAGACATTGGGGACATGGAGAACTATAAGAGTCACTTTCAGTACAGGAGGGCATGGGGAGGGGTATGAGCAGGTTTATATAACTAGAAGGAATCATGGTCTTGTTGGTGGACTTAGATCTCTAAAGTCAACAGCTCATCTCTCTACTTAGGCATAATGATATTTGCTTAATGGTGGTATCACAGTCTTGGTGGAATCATCATTGTGGGGCCACATCCTCATTTTGGAGGCTTTAAAGATCACTGTTAGGAACCACTACCATGATTCACTGCAGAAAACTTAAACATTTTCAATGTCATATGCAACAGTTCTCAAGGAGGTTAAAGGAAATTTGTTATGTGTATCCAGAGTACAAAAACTTAATTCCAAGTTACCTGATAGAGACTTAAACCTAAAAATCATGTACAGAACACTAGATGAAGCCTTTTTCTAGAATTAATTAGAATTAATTAATTAGAATATTATCTATATGATAATATAATGACAAAAATTTAAAATGTATATATTAATCTTATAAATTATGAGATAATATTTATACATTAAGAAATGTTTTAAACAACCAAAACAAAACCAAAGATTATGAAATTAGTGGTAATAGAATAGTTTCTTTCTTTCTTTCTTTTTCTTTATTTTTTGTTTATTTTTTTAGTTGTTGAAAAAAATTTCCGCCTCCTCCCCATTTCCCATTTCCCTCCCCCTCCTCCCACACTTTGCCCCCTCCCCCATCCTCCTTCCCCTCCCCCCCACTCCATTCCCCCTCCCTCTCGAGAATGAAGAGCAGTCCAGATTCCCTGCCCTGCGGGAAGTCCAAGGTCCTCCCACTTCTATCCAGGTCCAGGAGAGTGAGCATCCAAACAGGCTAGGCTCCCACAAAGCCAGTTCATGTATTAGGATCGAAACCTAGTGCCATTGGAAGTCAGGACCACGAGGGGTGCACCCAGCCACTGTGACAGTGGAACTGATCTATTGGGAGCTCACCAAGGCCAGCGGGACTGGGACTGAATAAGCATGGGATGAAACCGAACTTTCTGAACATGGCGGACAATGAAGGCTGATGAGAAGCCTAGAATAGTTTCTTAATTTTGGTTTTAGTTCTATCCCATTTATTCCAGAAGCTATCGAGGCTCTAGCCATATAAAGCAGTCAAAAACTCTGTGTTTTCTGTGGGTCAGGGTTTCATCTCCAACCATGGAATGTGGGTTTTCTACTATACCGATCATCTTAG